CCCCCCCCCCCCCCCCCCCAAAAAAAAGCTTCTTTCCAACAAACAAGAGGGATGGAGAAACCAACAACCAAGTATCCAAAAAGAATATCCATTGTTTCCCATCATCCCAAATCATCCCAAGGTTGAAAAGGTAAAACATACAGCATTTTAGCACCTACCTACCTTGACGAGCCCATCACATCCTCCATATTGAGACACACTTCATAAGCACAGATACATAGTAGACTCAATACCTAGATCTCTCAAAATCCAATAATGCCATTTTACTTCCTACCTAAAGCCATTCATTCACTCACTCACTCACTCTAAATCAAGCCTACCTTACTTGATCTTACCTAATCACCCCTCCTTTGTTACACCTAAATAAGTCAAAGCCTCATCATCAATCAATCCATATCATATCAAACAATCAAAAAGCCTCCAACAAACAAACAAGCAAACAAATCAATTCAAAGCCCGCGTAGCTCAATCGGTAGAGCGTCAGACTCTTACTTAAGAATCTCTTCAGTTCAATCTGAAGGCTGCGGGTTCGACCCCCGCCGTGGGCTCAATTCCCACTGGCTTGCTTTGAAGAAACCTTTTTTTTTTTCCCGCCCCGACTCTTTTTTTTGGGTGCCCCTCCCCCCCACCACCGTAAATCCTATATAATCAGACGATAATAGATACTTAGGACTAAGAGAATTCATCGTGCATTCAAATTATGTAGCACTAATTGTCGTATTTTTGGATTTCATATTGGTTGATGGGAAATGATTTACATTATAAACTGCCGGCATGCAGCCGTGATGAATGTACCCTGAAGCGCCTTACTCCTTGATATCAAGAGCCTACCTATGCGAGGCATTTAAAAAAAAAAGGAAATGAAGTGGCTGTCTACGCCACAGAGACTCTATCGTTCTTTCTAACGTCTCTCAACCAGCAGGACGTGCATAGCAATATATCCCAGGACAATAAAGGCGGAGGCAAAGATGCCCAAACTAATAACATCAGGCCAGAATGCCTGAGTGTTGAAGCCGAAGGAGCTCAGGATTGAGGCACCTGGGACCGTAATATCCAGACCGTACTTCTTGTCTATGAGTGTCAAGAAGGTGACCTCGTTGACAATAAGAGATTCAAAGCCATAATGGAAGATGGACAATGCTTGTAGCCACAATGCGGATTTCGGAATGGCGTTATGATTGAGCAACAAGCCAGCGAAGAGTAAGCTGAAAAGCATAACCAGACTTCCTATCAAACTTGCCACGCCGCTGTCCTTACAGACAATACCGATGAAGAGGCAGATTGCGGCGGCTGCAAGGTTGAATAAGACCAGGACCAGGATAAATTTGAAAAAATGAGTAGCATCTGGGACCAATCCAGTCATCGGGTACAGAATCGAGCCCATTATTATCGGGGGAAGAATTCGGAGTGGCACAATGTCAAAAATGACCTTGGCCACGAAATAGGTGATTGGCGAGTAGTAACCATTTGCCCTTTCTTTCACGAACACAGGCCTCTCAGTAGCAAACACATTTAGACTGGAGAGTGTGCTGAAACCGAAAAGAGCTAAGACGAAGAAGAACAATCCAAGTCGGTTTTGGAAACCCGCGATGTCGTCTGTCAGCCCATAAAAGAGAAAACCGGATAGGACTGCCAGTAGAATGGCAATTGCATAATGCGTGAGCATCAGCATCGGATTCCGGTAAAGATTTCGCCATGTTCGTTGAGATAGAATCACAAATTGCCGGAGGTAGCCAATTCTCGCATAGCCTTTACCCACGGCACTAACATGGGCTGATCCGTTAACATCAGAATGCCCATTCATGTTCCCATTTGCGGCCTGGGCAGTATCTATGGCGGTATGGATATCGTTGCGAATATTCTCCGCGATTTCAGATCCTGCGTACGCGGCGACAAGGAGATCAAGATCAGTTCCTGCACCCCCCGCGACAGGTGGCAAATCATCAACATCTTCCAAGATTGATTGAGTTGCGTGGCTGGATGATTTCTTGGAAAGACTAAGCCATTGATGTGACCCTGCCACACTGGGGTCAAGTGGTGTCTCATCAGTTTGGGAGGCCGGAGTCTCGCGACCATTCCTCTTGCGTGTGAAAAGCTCTCTTTCCTGCCTCGCCTTGACTGAATCTCGACGCATCCCCTTCGGCCTCCTCACTGAATCCACAGCGTTACCGATGATGCCATCTTCAATACTGCCACCGGAGGTGCTTGCTATTGACTTGACTGCCCTAGTGCTGCTTGGCCCATCACTGCTTGGAGCTGGCTCCAAGCCAGGTATTCGTTCATCTATAGGCGTGTGAGGAGTTCCGATATGCATCGTCAAATCTACCAAGTAATCTGCAATGTTAAATCCCGGTGGGCACGAGTAGCCGATCTGGTCGAAGAAGTCCTGGCACTGACTGAAGGGCCCAGAATAGACAGTTTGCCCCTTCGCCAAGAGAAGCAATCCGTCAAAGAGAGACACGATATTCGATCTCGGTTGATGAATCGTAAAAATGACTGTCCGCTTATAAGTCTTGGCCAGGGTAACCAGGCACTCGATGACGTTAAAGGCGTTGTAGGCATCCAGCCCACTGGTCGGTTCATCAAGGAATAGAATACTTGGGCTCGTGACGAGCTCACAGGCAATACCAACCCTTCGTTTCTCACCACCAGAGATCCCACGGCCTTTACCATCTGCAGAGCCGATCAATGAGTCCCTGATAGAAGAGATTCCCAATTGCTTCTCCACTTCATAAACCTTCTGTTCCTTTGCTGCTCTGCCCATGTCACGAGGAAGACGAAGCAGTGCACTAGTCATGATAGTCTCATGAACAGTTAGAGTAGGCAGCATGGTGTCTTCCTGGTCCACAAATCCAACAACGTTCTTGTATTCCGCATCATTGACCTTCTCCCCGTTGACATAGAAGTCGCCTTCAACAATTCCACGCTTGTTCTTTCGCGCAAGAATGTCAAGGAATGTCGTCTTGCCTGCACCAGAAGCTCCCATGATCGCCAATAGCTCCCCAGGATGGGCAACACCTTGGACGCCGGAGAGTATCCGCTTCCCATTCAGATTGTAAGAGACATTCTCGAAGTATAAGGATGCTGGCTTATGGTCTGTCATAAGCTTCATGCCCTCGTCATCGGAATCATCCAGACGGATGGGCCCATGTTTGAATTGTCTCCGAGAAAGGTACCAAACGGTTAGGATAACTGCAACGACAAACAAGGAGCTGCCAGCAATGACCCCAGCAATCAAAGGCGTGTTGATCTTCTTTACCGGCCGCTCAAATCCTGGGACCTCCGTCTCGTAGAGGCATTCACCAGATTGGCACTCAATGAAAATGCTGCTGTCTCCAAACATCTGCTGAATCAGATTATCCATCTCCGGTTCCGTGAACTCGCACTTGTTTTTGCCGCCAGCATGCTGAAGACAACTGAACTCTGCCGGCCCTCGAATCAGTTGATCCAGAAAGTCGGTGATATCAACAGAACCATTCTCTCCACACAACATCCGATCCGGAATACATTTGCACTCGACATTTTCGCATCTGTAGTTGGTGCTATTCTGGCTGTAGTCGTTGTCGGTACTAGATACGCAAGAGTCCAAGCTGCAATAGAACGATTCTCTCTGGTCGACCCAAACTAGAAGGTGTCAGAAACAAGTCCTATTTTCAGGATGGGTCTGGTCTCACATTGAAAGGCGCAGGTCTTGTCAGCCGCATTGCAGGTGAAAGTGACCTGCGGTTTCTTCCCCTCCAAGATCTCGACGATCTTGACGTTTGTGACGTCGCACATCTGGTAATTTTCCTTGACCACCTCTCCATTCTGGTAGCAGACTCCTCCTCCTTCCTCGGGCATCGGCATCAACGCGTTGCATGCTTTGTTTGAGGTACAGACATTACAATTAATGCCCGTCCACCCCTCTTCGCATTCGCAGTAATCGCCTGTTCGCATGGGTCGGTCCTGTCCATCTGCCAGTGACCCGCAGACTAGTAATATGAATCAGCATGCCATCCTGTGATATATGGTCCGCCCCCCATCTGTACTCGTACCTGGAGAGAGACAGTCATCACCCCCGAAGCCGGGAGGACATGAGCATTTGCCATTGTATTGGTTACATTCGGCGTATTGACCGCAGGTGAAAGCAGGAAGAAGACAATTGAAACTGTTCTTGGTCAGAACGCTCGCGGGGGATGCATGTTACGGAGGGGGAGTTGGCGTATCGTACCACGGCGGACAATCGTCAGGTCGGCCATCCATGAGGGCCAGCTGCGCCTGCAGCATATCGACCGAGGAATAGTTCTGAGACGCGCAGGCGGTCCATGATAGCGACAAAGTCGCAAGGACGGCTGCTCGAAGCTGAAGTCGTCGCATCTGGGATTCTATGCGGCGATATGGTGGTGTTGATGTTTGTTGCGTTGCTACAACGCAACCTGGCTCCCGAGAGCTGTTGTTGCTAGGGCGGACGGCTGATGTGGAGCTCTATGTTCCAACTCCCAACCATCCACCTACGCGGCGCAGAGACAAGAAAGGAGCGGCGGGAAAGGAGAAGAAGCTGTAGGAAAGGAAGAGGAAGAAGTCTGTATAAGAAGCAGAAGAAGAAGAGGTAGTGTATGGTTGGGATATACTCGGTACGTCCAGAGTTGTATATCGTCGGATGGTTCTCACATGGAACGGGGAAACCCGCATAGTCAGCGACACCTGACCCCACTTCCCCTGGACGCCCCCACACGGCATGTCTGAACGCTCTTCACGCCCTTCAACACCATGCTGACGTCGTTTTGACATTGATAGACAGTTGTTTTGACATCAATAGAGGATTTATAAGTCTGTATATACTAAGTCCTTCCTTTGTACTTCCCTACCACGTAGATCCCCGTCTCCCCAAGGCTTTCGAAGATGGTGAAGATTAAACCTTTCGATGTAGAGCAGGTATGATGCTTCTTTTCCATGGCTAAGACTCTGCTGATGGCAGCCAGTGGATGGACAAATATGAGACTACCCCCGGGGTCCTGAATATTGCTGAGACCTGTGCAGCATCTATATCGATCGATGAACTTGTCGCTCTCTGCGAAGACCCAAGCATCGAGCCGCCTCTAAAGGCGTCTACGAAGCTCACATATGGGCCAATACGAGGATCTGATACTCTCCGAGGGAATCTGGCTTCTCTGTACTCTGCGCGCGTCGCGACTCCCCTCCCTGTTGATAATATCCTCATTACACCAGGGGCCATCGCAGCCAACTTCCTCCTCTTCTATACACTGATCGGGCCTGGAGATCATGTGGTCTGTGTGTATCCCACATACCAGCAACTATACTCTGTCCCCGAGAGTTTGGGTGCTGAGGTATCGTTGTGGAAGCTGCGGAAGGACAAGAAATACATCCCAGATCTGGAAGAACTGAAAGATTTGGTGAAGGAGAATACGAAGATGATTATCATCAACAATCCTAATAACCCTACTGGAGCCACAATTCCCAAATCAGTTCTACGAGGGTTGGTAGATTTTGCTCGGGAGCGGGACATCATAATCTTCTCAGACGAAGTCTACCGACCCCTCTTCCATTCCATATCTCCCCTTGACAATGAATTTCCACCCTCATTAGTCTCCCTGGGGTATGCGAAGACCATCGTCACCGGCTCGATGTCAAAGGCCTACTCCCTTGCTGGGATTCGCCTTGGTTGGATTGCTTCCCGCGATCCTTCGATCATTGAAGCCATTGCCGCGGCTCGCGATTACACCACAATTGCTGTATCCCAGCTCGACGACCAAGTCGCATCATATGCATTATCTCAATCAGTCATCCATTCCCTTCTCAGCCGCAATATCAAACTAGCGAGGACGAACCTGGAACTGCTCGAAAACTTCGTCAAGGAGCACAGCTCTGTGTGTTCCTGGGTAAAGCCAACAGGTGGAACTACAGCATTCATCAGATTCGAGATGAAGGGCGAGCCAATAGATGACGTCAAATTCTGTATCGATGTCATAGAGAAAACTAAAGTCATGTTCTTGCCAGGCTCCAAATGCTTCGGCGAGGATTTCAAGGGGTTTGTGCGTATCGGTTTTGTCTGCGAAACTGCGGTTCTTGAAGAAGCATTGCAGAAATTAGGAGCTTATATTCGAGAACATCTTGTTTCAAAGTAATATATCCTATTTGACTTTCAACCGTTTATATCATGCAGAGATTTGGTTCAGAGATCAATTGGGTCAGTGCTATACGAAATATTTCCCTCCTGCTCATTCCTGGACGAGATAACTTTTGCCATGTTACGTTAATTTCCACTTCCAGTTTTTGACATCTGTCTCTGGGGCCTATTGCACCACCACCAACTCATTGCTATCTCAAATGACTGCCCGTACTGACCAACTCCTGCAAGTTTATCAAGTAGTCCCATCGATACAGCTCAAGCGGTGAGTAAATATATGACTGTTACATACGTGTAGGATTTGCGACGTTATTAAAAAGATTTCTGGGAGAGGATTATTGATCTGGGTTCAATATCCATGCGGATCTTGCATAACACATTAAGGGTCAAGTACATCAAGACGAAGAACTTAATTCGAAGGACGACTGTGGTAGGTTTGATCAGCATTAATTAAAAAGCGATCTGTAAATAAAATGCTATTGTCAACATCTGGAGGCAAGTTATTATAGCTAAGTGCCCTTGCACTACCAACGCTGGTTGTATCACGCTACCTGTCCACATCCCTTTTGTCGACTGGCGCCTCGTGCTTTGATTCCTTGTGCGGCCGAGTTTCAACCTGCGGCCATTGGGACCAGCTGTCTGGAGCTAAAGATGAAGATAATTAGCACAAGTGAGTGGAGATCGATTAGAAGTATACTACCTTGAAGAATGTATCGATTCATCGCCTCTCGGAAACGACTTTTGTATTCCTAATAGATCATCAGTATCTCGTCATTTTATTGGATGAACTGGCTATACCTTTGGTGAGGTGACTGTTGGTCGATTTCGTCCACCACCGGCGAAACCCCGATCTAGAAATTAATGTCAGCACTGCCTTGAGAGATCACACTCGTAGACCCGTACCTTTTATCCATGATTCTAGTTTCTTGTCCTGTGAAAAGATTAGTCACTCCTCTTGGTGCTTCTAGGTGCTAAAGATCAAACATACCCATGTATATGTCCGGACGACATCAATGATGCCAACGACCAGCTCCTTGCGAGCCTCGTCGACAGCCACCATTAACGAGTAGTCCATCACATCGTTCCTCTGCAGGAAAAGTGTATCATTGAAAATGGCTGCACGTAGGAGTTTCTTCGAATGCTGCTCAAATATTAGCTATTGACGTTCAAGCTTCTGCTAAATCCGCTGAGGAACTTACTTCTCGCACAAAAAGAGGAGACTCGTATATAAACTCGACCATGTTCTCATCTAAGAGCACTTCGTTTTGCTCTCCTGTAGACTGAATCTTTCGGTTTCGCATTGATCCCTTAAGATCAAAGATTCGTGTTGGAGAACGATCATAGAAGAGATTCTCCATGACAAGTACGTCCCATTTGATTTCAGTCCCAGTGGCTGGGTTTTTGATGACAATTTGGTAGAAACCGAGCATCTTCGCGATAACTGTCGGGAGATCATGGAAGAGAGCTTCAGCCATTATATTGAAGTAAGCCGGTGCAAATCTGAGAAAAGCCTGCGTTTCGATAGGAGAAAGCGACTTGAGGACAAGCCTGTCATCTAAGGTCTTCAAGAAAACGGATTTGGTCTTCCCTCCCTTAGAATCCCACTTGAGGCACCGTGATAACGACTCAACAATGCGATCGGCAACCCCACATTTTCGACGCACCGCATCGAATTGTTCAGCGAAGAAGATTTTGCATTGCATCCTTGCTGTGGAATCGACAAAGGAGTATGCCAAATGCGTTCCGGTGGCACGGAGCAGAGAAGTTTCTACCTCTGCTTGATCGACACCATCCTGACAAATATCAGGGTTCCTACCACCTTCTGCTGATAGGTTCATCCTTCCTGAAGTAGAAGAGTCTTGCTCATTCTTACTAGGCGATCCCTGGTTGCGAATTTCCGCCAATTTGGACCTATAATGCTCTGATTGTAACGTGAAGGCTATTAATGAACTTGGTTCATCTTCCCTTATAATAATGTCCTCATCAGCGAATATGTGATCGCCAGCGTTAATGGGATACTCGAGAGGTGTCCAGCCACTCGCAGATCTTTCAGCCCAAAAGTTAGTTAATATTTTCATCAGACTTGACTTCTCATGTTTTGGGATTTCCAGCGGCATATCAGCGTCCGGCTTTCTTAGGGACTCTGCTATCTCCGCCGCCCCAGGAATGATATCGTCTAGCAAAGAATGATCGACGTCGCTTGCAGCTCCTTCATCATCTGAACCAGTTTGGCTGACGCTCTGCTGGTGACCGTCCGTTTCAGGCTCTGTGGCAGTCTCATCTACTGTGGCAGCAGTGCCAGTTGGTGAATGGGGGCCGGTACTGCCAGCTGTGGACTCCGAGTTTAAATCCGCAAGTCCTTCCACAATACTGATTGACTCATTGACAGAATTCGATGGTTGGACGGTCATTAAATCTTCGTCTGTAGGTCCACGCTCCTCGACTGCTTCATTGACGTCTTTATAAACCTCAACGATGGGTTTTGAGGAAGCTTTCGGGAAGGCCCTCGACTGTGTAACATTCGCGGCGCGTTGTTTCCTGTCTCGAAGACGCTCCTTTTCAAACTCTCGGCTTAGTTGCTCAAAGTGTTTTGCTAACGTAGAGACATTCGATTCTTTGCGCTGGTTAATGGATCTTGGGATAAGGGAATGTCCTGCTTTCCGGTGAGACTTCAGGGTGCCTAATCCCAGCCTTTCTGAAAGCTTCTTTTCAGTCGGCTTTGCAGGTTCTGTCGCAGAAGGTTTCAGAGGTTCCACAGGAATCGGCAGAGAATCGTTCACCTTCTTAGAATCTCCTTGTCTCGTGAACGTTTTGCTAGGGGTTGGATGTACGCGATGTAGCGTGCCAGCTGGTTGTGATTGTGTACGTCCCAGTGGAGGAGAAGTAGCAGCGCCTGCCCGCCGAGAAAAGCCTCTGTCGGAGGGTCTTCGCATCCCAGATGGATCTGCCCGAGTCCCAGTTTGTGCATTTTGGCTGTTCTGATTGGCCCTTCGAAGCCTTTCGATTTTCTCTGATAACGTTGCTTCTAATGGAGAATTGGATAACGGCGAAGGACAGCTTTCCTCGTCGTTCATTGGACTAATGGGGCTCAAATGATCATTCGGCGTTGGCGTTTTCGATGGCGTTATATTAACTGGATCGCTCTTCTGAGGAAGGGCAAGATCCAAGTGCTCAATACCGTCCTGATCAAGCGCAAGAGCATGTGGACCAGTTGATTGAATTTTCGGCATCGGCGGCGTATCCTGGCTTTCTGAAGGGACAGCTGTTGTTGGATTTTCTTCTACAACGGACGTTAGGACATCGCGAGCTTCTTCGGTAGTAACGTTCGAAGGGTTTCGAGTCAGTTCAAGAGATGCACTCGAGTACTTCTCGTCTACATCAGACGCTAGTTCCGCACCCTCGGGGGATGCTATAGAGGTTGTCGATTCATCGCGATCCATGAACATTTTCTTCAGTTGCAGTGCCGCAAGCCTCCGAATATCTTTTTCAGAAGGGAAGAAATTAGCGTCGAAGTCAGCAAACGCATCATCCCATTGAGCAACTTTCTCCTGCATGGCCCTCACAGCTCTATTGAGTGGAATGATCTCATAGTATTTGGATTCCATATACTTTGCCTGGAGCTTCCGAATGAGAGCAGCGTGCTCTTCTTGTGCAAGCTTGGTGAGTCGTTCCACCTCCGCTTTGCAAGCCTCGGCTTTCTCAGGGGCAACACTATCAATGTTGATGCCTTTGATTCTCGAATTGACCGAGGCCATGAACCGGTTCCAACGCTCTTCAATCTTTGTAAACAGGTCATTCTTTAATTTAAGATCGTTGTCCACCTTCCAAGTAATCCTGGTGCGCGGTACAATTATCTCCAGTAAATCAATGGGATCGTAATGTATGCGAATTGCAACGTTCCGGAAGCCAAAATATCGCAGGTGGTCGCGATGAATATCATGGGGACAAAGGCCCGCTCTTAGACGCAACTCGCTGCTCCAGAAGGAGAGTTCAAGATATTTTCCCAATGAATATTTCCAGGTACTTTCAGACATGGGCATGACCTGCGTCTCCTTCTTACATATCTTACAATAGCTCCACATAAGAATGGAATCATGTAGCCCTTTGATTTTGCACGGATACTTTTCAACAAACACCGTTATGCGTGCCTCGCCATGGACATACGTTCTATGGTGTTCGGACATTTTCCGCTCGCATCCATTGGAAGTACAAATTGTGTCTGCACTTAGGCACAAATCCTCGACGTACTGGCCAAGAGTGCAGTCCGGATCCAGGTCTGGGGATACTTCGTGCTCATTATAAAATGCCAATGCTAGCAGCTCGGGCCCGGCACAGGGAATGGTTGTCTCAGTGCATACTACCGTGTACAAGACAGTAATGTTCTGATGCGCGGATGGATCAAATAAATTAATGTTTCCTTGGATGTAATTCTCCCACTGACGTGTCTGGGTCTGATAGTTGTGCAAAGCTTTATCGTACTCGGCATCGTGGACGGCATGTAGAACCTCCATAATCTGCCTCGGCGCTCTCTGCACTGTTTCATGGACCATTTCAGGCTTGATGAGCTGGAATTTCTGCGGCTTCGACTTCTCAGTTTCAGTCTGCTCCTCAAAAGTATCCTGATCCCGCAGCCTTTTCAGATATACAAGTCTTCGTTCTTGCTCTCTTGCCCTCATCAGAAGGTATGGCTGCTGGAATTTAACGAAAGGTGAAGCAGACAAGATCTTGGTTTGGTGCTTTGCAACCATATCGCTGTAGAAGGTAGGCATGGGAATATCCTCGGGCAACTGATCTTCGTGAGAGCCTTGTGCATGAGATTCGTGGGCCGAGATGAACTTTGGGGTCTTCGAGTTGGGCTCATGCACAGGTCGGTTGCCAGAATCTGGGGATTGAGCGGCGTCCGTATTGCTTGCATCAGTGTTCGAACGGTTATCTTGAACTCCGCCTTGGTCTTTCTGCCCGACATCGTTCTCACTTTGGTGTTCTTGCGGGTTCCTTCCGGTCTCCACCACGGCTTGTAACTTGTTACTGGCTGCAGCTATAGAGTCATGTTGAGGAGACAGATCTGTGGTTCGGGACTGCAGTGATTGTGATGATTGTTGCCTGTTTGGGGAGAAGCTCCCGCCGTTCTCTGCAACAGATGGGATGAGGACAAACTCATCACGCATCAGACAGGTCTCGAGTTTGAGATTATAGACAACATATACCATGAATTCGGTGATCCGCTTCATTTTAGAGAGAATGTTCATGTTTGCTCCTCTGAGCGCGATAGTACAACCTAATTCCTTGGGGCAGCCAGAGAGATAGATGTACGTTTTTTTCTTTCCAGGAATATCGTCATGAACATAAGTCTTAACTTCGAAGCCAGCGCACTTGCCGATGTGGACCGGTTTCAGCGCAACCATATCTATCGAAGAGATTATCTCTGTCTGGGCGCAACGGGATACAGCCTCGATGACAGATTGCTTCACATTATATGCCACAGCGATATTGGCCTCTGCCAGGTATTGCAAAGCAAGCCCAGATATGTGTTTCTGGACCAGAAGTAGCTGAGGTCTGAGGGAAGCGATACGATTCACCATATTCCTTAAAAATTCCTTCTCCTGAGCTATGACAGGTTCAAGACTCATAAAGTGATGCTGATGCCGCTGGTATTCAATGGGAAATGACACGATCACAATTCGTGGATTAGAGATTCTGCGAGGCATGGACTTTAGTGCGAGGTTCTTCGAAAAAACAACTCCAGATACATATGCAGTATCACCTGGTCTGCCTCCTGGGATTTTCTTGACTTTCACGTAGTGGCGGATGTCAATGTCATCGCCCCGACGCACATCGGGGTTCACATCGTCCGTGCATTGTAGGAGAATTGGAATGAGGGCCTTCTCCCAGGATGATATGTTCGGTATATTCTCGTCTTCCAATAATTGATGTAGCAACCGTCGAACGTGGTGTAAACTGGCATCGTTTAACTCAATTGCAGGCGCTTTGGCATCTCTCATGGAGGCACTCCGGGTCATTCTAGACGGACCAATTGTCGGCGTAGATGACAAGATGTCGGAAGCCACTGACCCTTCATTCAGGTTACCAAACCCTGGCACTAGCTGCCGTGGAGAACTTCGAGAGTGGTGTAGATTATTACTCGCGGTACTCAGGTTTCGTCGCCGGTTAGGTCGAGTGAACCCTCCCGTATAAGCACCTCCACTAGCCTCGTCAATACCACGACTTGTGAAACTGATACCGCTGACACTCTTCTCGCCAGCTCTGGTCCTATTTTTCTTGCTGGCGCTCAATAATGAGCCAAACCCGGATCTGTCATTTTCAAAACTTGCACTCGTAGTGCTAGCACCATTCATAGTCGCGAAGATGCTCATCTGCTCATCTCCACTTGAACCCTCGTCTGACATATATGGCGCTAAATCCGGATCAATGATATTGTCATCGTGGAAGGCCGGTAATCGTGATCGTTTTGCCAAATCATCCACCACTCCGCGGTGGAAAGGAGCCCGCTCTTCAGCTGTCGGTTTGAAACGTCCAAGAAAGTTATGTTTTGATTGGTGCCTCTTGTGACCCGAAGATGCTGGACGGCCACCAACTGACATAGATCTTAAAGATCTTGCAGAGCTTGGACGGCTTAGCTGTGGTGCATCAATGTCCAAGACTAACGATTGCCTATTAGCAGAATCACCAATCCTCCGAGTGGCTGGTATTGCCATCATTGGAGTGGCCAAACTGCTCTTGTCGTTATCTTCAAGTCTTTCTGCCTCATTATGGCTAGGAATCTCTATAGGTTCGGCCTTGCCGGATGATTCAAACTTTGCTTGTTGGGCCTGAAAAAATGTCGGCAATGTAGATTCATCACCTGAATCATCCGATCCACTGCTGTCGTCATGTCTTCTGTTGATGATATCGAGACAAGTCTTGCATACTCTCAGCGATCCTTGAACACCAAATCTTTGACCCGAAATTATGGAAGTGCACTTGGAATCAAAGATACAACCACACGTTCGACAGTGATGTTTTCTTCGAAATGCAGAAAAGGGGTCACCACAAAGGAAACATTCCTTGCAAATCTCATCCGCCATCCAAAACTCCTTACTCAAAACTTGCTTTCTCATTCGCTCAAGTCTTGCGCTGACAACCTCAGGAGCGCCTTCATTCGTTGTTATCCCAGGAATGCGGTAGCGGCCCGAGTACCCACCAGGAAGGCCTTCATCAGGCGAGAACGTCTCATGTCTGACACTATTATGTGCAGACGTGGTTATAGGACTGGCTGCAGTAGTACTTGATCGATCAGTTGAAGATGCTCTGGATGCTTGATAATTTGGTAAACGCGATTGAACAATGCGGTCAATGGCGGCGGGACGTCTCAGGACCTCTGGGGCACCAGCACGGGACGAAGCTGTTGTACGCGTCGAGTCCGAAGTTTGCAACGAAGATAAAGCTGATGAGGCAGTTTTTGAATTGCCATTTACCATTTTCCGGGACTCGACGCTGCCATCGCCGCCGAGAGAGCTGCCGTCCTGAATGGCCTTTGAAGTACCAGTGTCGCCCTCAGAGGTATCTGAAATCGCGGATTCATCCACAGTTTCCTTTGGCAGATGGCGGTTTTGGCGTAGTTCTCCAGATCCGAATGTAGCTGAGTTATCATGACTTTGGGGATCCGTTAACAAGGGCGTAGATTCGGATCTCTCAGATGTGTTGGACTCGACTGTTGAGCCTCGACCTTTACCTCCATCTTTGAATGCACTCACATTGACTGGAGCAACGGTAGGAACAATTACAGATGAGGCTGTAGCCTTCGTCATTGGCGTTATGGATGGTCTACTGGAAGTAGCCGCCTTGGATGTTGCTGGAGTTGATACAAAAGACGATTTAGAAGATTTCATAGTCTGTGACTGACTTTCGGAAGAATGACCAGCAAAAGACGAGGCAGTTGGGGATTGGAGAAGAGATGATGAGGTGGATAACTGGACAGGTGATGCAGTGATGCCGCTGTCCTCTCTCGTAGGAGCCATTGAGGCTTTGGAGGTTGGGGTCGTAACATTCTGACTATTTAAAGAAGAGGTTCCTAAGCTTTCATTGTCACCTCTATTCGACGTCGGTGGAGTCTTGTCCTTCCCTGCCCCAACTGCTCCTCGAAAACGGCTGTACAATCCACTGAGGCCATTCTGCACAATATCTCCAGCTAGACTTTTGCTTTCGGCGTTGGAAGAGGAAGGGGGTGGCGGTGCGAATTCGTTGAACGTTGTAAGAGTTTCTGAATTAGATGCGGCATTATGGATCTTATCTAGAGCTTGGGCTAGTTGCTCCCTATCGACGGGAGCCGATCCAGAGAGAGATGCGAAAGAGCCACGACGGGATCCTAGTCCAAGAGAGAGCAAGGGCGCATGGCCTAACGAGGTCCTAGGAGAGTCATGGGAAGACATGGTGATATTCTCCTACTCTGGAGCACTCAATATAAAGGCAAACTTCAGGATGTACCTCGAGGTGGACGTTTCGGTCCAGGACAAGGTTCGCACTGGGGTAACACCGGAACTCAGAGCATGCCAATATCGGATTCGAAATATTGGGCCGCCTGGAAGAACGGCTGTCGTGGCGGAGGATCATGTCACCGATTCGAGAGCGAGGAAGTTAACTATTGATGGAACGGGTCTCTGCATAGTCTAAAGTCAGTCAGTCAGTCATCATCAAAGGAGAGGATGGGTTGGCAGGGTTGCTCACCCAGGTACAACGTAGCAATATATGCGGGACCAGCTGGGAATATGTAAGGCCTGTTGATCGCGGAGCTGTCGATGAGTGACGAAGGAAGGAGAAATGATTGTCTACCAATCCCTCCTTGCGAATGAGCCCGACAATGCGTTGGCGAGAGTCGTGAGACCGTCATGTGCATCAGCCACACTCACCAGCCATATACACGAGCCACGCACTATACCAGCCACACCTCACCCCACGTCTGGCCGCGCTTATGTATCTAGGAACGCGTCAAATTCAACTTCCACGCGAGGGACATCTCCCCTTAGAAAGTATCCTGCGATGCTTCACCCTGTCCTTGACCGTTTCTCTAGGCAGGCTGCACTATTTCTGTATTCTTATTGATGAATACGGGCCTTACCGCACCCTCCTTATTTCCTCATTTGGTAACTGACCAAGAACATGGTTCGCCATTGAGAAACCGGCATTCAAGCCAGGACGTTGACGGCCGAGGTCGATAGCAACCGCCTCTCCTTCACCACAGCAAACATGTCCTCCCTAATGCGGGACTGGATTGCTCCCTTGGCCGAAAAAGAACTTTCAGCCGCCTACAATTGCTTTGACTCGGATTATCGGCATGGTCAAACCATTGAAAGGGATCGATTCAAATGTTCTCCGGACGGCATGATGGTGCATTTAACCAAAGGGAGAAACCTCCAAATTGTTAATGTGCGGAATCCCCACGATTGATAGTGGTAGTATATACTGATGCATTGGCAGTTTAACGCTCCCCTGGAACCCCCTTTTGACGTTACTCTTTCCGATGGCACCACAACGATTCGGGCCAATTTTGGAGAGGCAAGCATAAAAGAATTCTCAAAAGAGCATGGCCGAAACTTTAGTGAACATACCCTGGGAGGTGTATTGGCTATTAAGGAATACTACTTAGTAGGGCTATACCTATATGTATGATTCGGATGCATTAGCTAACTTGGAGTCATGACCTTCAACCCCAAAGCAAACCCATCAAAGAGGTTAATGCTCGAAATAATGCAATTTCGGTTTCGAGGTAGCGAAGGATCCTCGATGTTTGGTCAACCGTCAAGTGTTGAGGAACAGCCCGGTCTCGACACTGTCATGACGAAACTGAGTAGTCTACTTTCTCGCACTGGAAGTCACGCCGCATTTCAGCCGGAGGTGGCTTCTCCAATCTGGTCTCAGGGTGGTGGTTTTGAGGGCAGAGGAAGCCAGCTACCCCAAAATTCCAGCACGCCTTTTGCAACTCAGGTCCCGGACGACCTAAATGGGTATGACAACCCTACAGAAGCCGGCCCTAAACTTCGGCCCTCTAGAGGACAGAATGAACTTTTGTCTCTTTTATTAAATGTCCAAAATCAGAAAGAGCATTCAATTCTCGAAAACGAGACTGGTGAATCAAGTCTACTGCAACCGAAAAGGACGATCAATAGCACTCGGAACTCCTCAGTCGTGAGAACGATAGAGGGAAGCACAGTGGAAATTTCATCACAGTTGGGTATGATGGCAAATAAGCAGGAGAGTCAATTCCCACTGCTCTCACAGCAGCCACATTGCGACGATGCCAAGGAGCAACCAACATTTGACAGATCTCTGAACTCTCCGATGTACCCGGCTGTAACTACCCCTCTTTCAGGCGATAACGAAAAGAAAAGCAGCCAAGAAAGCAACAGCCGAGAGATGACGCAGAAGGAAGACTCTATAGTTCCCGAAGTCGCTCAGGTGACCCCCGCCGTTGAGCATGTCAATCATGCTTTTCCAGTCTTAGTGATGGATCAAACCCCAGAGCAAAATCCTTTTGAGGGTCTGAAACGGGTGCCACGATCATATGTGCGAGTACCGGCGTCACAACTGACTATCCTAGAGCGCGAAGATTCTTGGTTTCAAGGAGGCAACAGCAGCCGATCATCCCATGCTCATAATCTTCCACAAGAAGTCCTACACGACTTGAATTCATTCGTTGATCAGATTGTGACTCGAGGTGACGATGGAAGCAATCAAACCGAAGGCCTTGAAACAAAGTCTGACCTGAGAAGATATCAAAATCACGACAGTAATAATGGCGTCAGAGAAGACACTGAAGCAATAGAGGTAGAGCGAGACGAATTTGATCTGACCAGTGATACGGATAATAACGGGAAGGGTCGAGAAAACAATCAAAGACTGGGTCGAACAAGCATGTCACCGTCAAGAATCGTCCGCCAAGAAACTAATCCAGGGACCGATACTCAGACAAAGGAAACGAGGCGCCATTCAAGTGTAGGCCCTGGCCTAGATACTGGGACTGATAAGATCAATAATCTTGTTGACCATGATGACGATGAAACGAGCGAACAAAGAAGCATAGTATCATGGTCTCCAAGTCCCGGGCGGACCCCAAGACCATGTAGTCTGCCTGTTCCTGAGAACTCCAGACCTCAATCTCCATCATCGTCCACTAGTGTCGAAATGGATGTCGACGAATTACCGGGAATGCACCATACAGATGCCTCAACCATGACATTGCATTTGAATTTGCCACATCAAATTATCGACCAATCACGTGCTGCAGGTAATTATGACAAGGCCACGATACTCCAAGAACACTCCTATCCCTCTTTCCCTTCCAGTAGTCTGGCCGGAGATAGTGAAATAGAGATGGGTGTGCTACATGCGATCGATGACCAAGTCGATGAAAGTGACGAGGAAATGGACTCTCCCAGTACATCACAGAAGCTTCCCTCAACCGCCATTCAGAATTGTTCCGTCATACAAGTCGAACAGACCCCGCATCCAAATCAACGGGGACCTGCAGAAAGCGGGGACGAGAAAGTGCCTCATATAGGACATAAACGCCCCCATGGAGAGATCTCCTCAGATTCCGTAATTCCAGGCACATTCAACGACCAGAGTCCACAAGACCGTGTACGAATTTGGAACAAGGACGAAGTGAAAAGCCTCGACACAACTTCCGGGAAAGCGCCTTTAACGGCGGATAGCACTCGTCATTTTCCTAGCAATCATGTTTCAATCGACAACGATAATGCTCAAGTCGAAGATGTTACGGCAAGCCGTAGTCTTTTCTCTGAACTCGATAACTCTCAGCGGGATGCAGGTAGAGCGATAAGCTCTTCTCCAGTTATGTCTCCACCTGCTCTTCAGAGAATGCCGAAGAAGTTGAAGATAGCCAGTTCCGAAAGGCATCAGACAGCGTACTTGGAACAGCCATCTTCACCTAATTTGCCCTTTCGGGCAGGAGACGGTGAATCCGAGGTTGAACTGGCTTCGACTGGCAAGACCTCTCCCCAAGCCCCGCAGCTTTGGAAGCGAGACACGGGAGCTCTCCAAGCACATCAAAGGGTCTCAAAACCTCGCCGATTCAAAAGAATTACGGCTCCCAAATTCAGCCAAGAAGAATATGGCACTCCAATAGATACGGATGAAATGGTGCGAGCCAGCAGACGTGCATTCAATGCCCAGTTAAGTATAGAAGAGGCTGAAGAGCCACAGCCTCCTGTGGGAAATGGTACGGGTACCTCTATCACATTGGAGCAAGATTCTGGGACCGCGGCCGATTGTACTCCTCCAGATATGTCAGAGACTGTTGCCAGGCATCCAACCCCAGATACACCTGCAATCTTGCAATCCGCTACGAGAATCGTGATGGAATCCCCTTTACGCAATACAACAGAATCACAAAAGGATCCAGAACGGCACGATACTCATGCTGGTATTCAACAATCAATTTCAATGGTCACGCAATCTAGTAGGAACTTCCCGGTACCCTTAGTCCGGAAAGAGCCTTCAAATCCTTCCACGGCCTTTGATAATTTTAAATCGGCATACCCAACTTACAAGGGCAGCGAGAAGCGCTTTATTGAGGCCTTGACCTACATCGAATGGCTGGTGGAAGGAAAAGGAAGGAATTTTCTCAGAAAATCCCTCTGGGACGATCTGATCAGAGTTCTCGCCGATGAGCACCTGGAGTATATTCGAGACGCTCGTAATCGTGGTATCCCGATGAAAGAAATGCACTCAGGCTTTGAGTATTACAATGAAATTGATCAGGATCCCATCTTCAAAAAGAGGGTCATTACTCCTGACAATCTACAGATGTCCCTAGCGTCTCTCAATGCACATAAAGTTGCGGAGGCTAGAAGTATATTCAAGGGCAAGCCAAAGGGGAGTGAAATGCAATCGACGGCTTCTACGGCCCGTACACAACATCATCCCGACGAAAATGTGGTTGAAACCCCTTCGCGCGCGGATGGGGACTCTTCTGTGGGTATGATAGGGATGAGCCCTGAGCTAGGAGCGTCGAACGATGCCGAAAACATATTCAAGAGCAAGCCGAAGGAGAGTGGAGTGCAATCGAGGGCTTCTACGACCCGTACACAACATCATCCCGATGAAAATGTTGTTGAAACCCCTTCGCGCGCGGATGGAGACTCTTCTGTGGGTATGATAGGGATGAGCCCTGAGCTAGGGGTGTCGAACAATGCAGAAAGCAGGTCCCTCAAACGACCATACTTTGAGACACATAGCCAAGTCGAGGCAACGAAGCAAAAGCAAGCTCCTAGCGCCACTCCAGGATCAGAGTCCCAAGCTGACTATAGACCTCGGCGTCGAAGGCACCTGCCCTTTTCTCGGGCCAGCGATTCCCATGTCTCTCATGCTTCCGAAGAACAGTTATTGAGATCGCCAATTCGCAGGCTACAATCACAAGAAAAGGCTATCAGGTCCGTCGCTAGGCCAGATATAAGGACAAGGTCGTTGGATTTGTCGGCTCAACAGTATGATGTATTCAAAAGCCCTAGCCTACCCGACTCATTTGGCCCGCGGAGTACCTCAAAGATTGCCTCGCGGAGTACCAACAGCTTGCCACATGCCCACGATAGAGGGCTGAGAAGAGTGACGATCCATGGTCAAATCTCGGCTTCTAAAAGGGAGAATTTTTTCAAAGAATTTGGCCGACGGAAGAGGGAGAGCGGCCTTTGGTCGAACCCTGCCTCAACAGGTACCACTTATTTCTCTATAAAGAGTGTTAAAGGTACCCCTGTGGCCGAGCCGGAAACACAAACAGAGGTGACATAGGGTACTGAAGAAGAGTGGGAGATCTGTGAGAGATGCTGTCTGGAATAGCATGGTTTAGCTGCATTGAGGATCAAATTTGTTTTTATAGATACCCTACCTTGTTTGCTAGGAGACTGGCTAAATCAAATTCTATGACCAATTTATGAAATGAAGAAATGATTTTAGTAATCGATACCATGTATTCTGAACCTGTAGCATTATCGGAAGCACAACTCTTGAGCAAGAATTTATATGAGTAACGTGAAGGAGCCTCGGTTTAGTGACTTAAGGCCTGGGTTTGGCAATAGACCTGCTACAGTTCGAGCTATATTACTGCCCACGCAGACGGCAATCATGTCACTCGTTGTTGTGATGTAATGTCCCTTGCTACAGGAACTCCTCTCGAAGTCTTTCGTATAACCAAACGAGCTGGCCTTCACACTGGGTCTCCAGATTACGCCTTGAGCCATAGGGGCTCTGATGAGCTCGACAGCAGTAAGACCCCGGTCCCGTAGTCTCCCTGTACCTCCACCTCGAAGAGTTCGTGATATCTGCCGCTCTCTCCCACAGTATACATCTAGGCGGCCTCCACGTCTGCATCCGCAATGGGCTCGCCCTTCTTCTCCTCCTTCTCTTGCGCCAATTGACGTTGTTCTTCCTCTGGTGTCCGAGTCCTCAACTGCAAGGCATGGATGCCTCCTTCCTTTGCCATCTCCTCCTTCAATAGCGCGTACACCATCCTATGTCTCGCGGGTTGCATCTTGGATCTGAAAGCCTCGGACGTGATGACCACCCGGAAATGGGTTTCCTTGGAAGTGCTGCCGGCCATTGCCTGGTGGTGGGAGTGGAGATGAGAGTCGTTGTAGATCTCCAAGAAGCTTGGCTTCAGCGCTTCGGTGATCTAGCATCAGTTAGATCTAGGATTGTGATCAGTGGGAGCTGGGTGCGATGGGAATACCTTCCGGCGCATTGCATCCTCCATCGGTGTCTGTGAGGCCATTGTGGAAAGCGGTCGCCCGACCCGAAGAGCCAGCAAAGATCGGCGAAGCATCAAAGCTGCACTTCCTTCAAAAAAGTACTGCGGCTTGAGAGAATGAAGGTAGAGGGTGGTTGGGTCGGGTTGTCTCTGTGGGGAAATGTTTCTGTCTTTTTGGATTCTTCAGAGGGAGCTGGGTGACGGGGGGTGTCGGCTAAACCTGCAAAAGATCGTCAGGCCCAAAACCCCTCCTGCGGCGCACCCTGCCCCTCGGTATTCCTCTCCTCGTGAAACTGACGCCCTACGCCGTATCCAACGACGATCCTTGTTCCTCTCTCCCGCCGCCATGTTCGGTGTGAGAAAGGCATCGTCGCTCTTCTTTCGCAAGCGCACGCCCGCAATCCTCCCTCTGCTTGCTACAAAAGTTCAATTCTCCAGGATGGCGTCAACATTACCTAGACTCCCGATATTCGAAGCAATCGCGAGCCACGACCCGAAATCCACCGTGGTCGTGCATTCGGCATCGGGCAGGCGCTTTACCTATGGAGAACTACTGGGAGATGTCGCAGAAGCAAAGGACAGACTCCTCAAGGAGGCAGGTGGGAATGCCTTAGATGGGCAGCGGATAGCATTTCTTGTGGAAAACAGCTACGATTATGTGGGTGCGCAACCAGACCGCTTTAGATATTTGAAAGAAGGGAATTGATTGTATTTCTAGTCACTCTGCTCTCCATACTTGGCACACATTCAATAGCCCTTCCTCTCTCTCCTGCGTTTCCCACGCATGAGCTACAATATATAATGGATCAGAGCCAGGCCTCGATGCTGTTATCGTCCAAGAAGTTCGAGACCAAGGCAGAGGCTTTGAAGGACGTCTTAGAAGGAAAGCCAAGATATATCAAGCTTGAAAAGAAGCTCGGTGGTGCAGATTATGCTAAAGTCACCCTGGAGGGACCTACCGATGGCCAAGGGGGGATGATGCTATATACATCAGGGACGACGAATCGACCAGTATGTCTATTTGGGGCGGCTTATCTTAGAAGTGGCTGACATTTAAATCCAGAAAGGTGTCCTGATTCCCCAGTCAGCCTTGACAGCGCAAGCAAAGTCCCTCCAAACAGCATGGAACTATAGTTCTAAGGATTACCTTCTCCACGTCCTCCCTCTTCATCATATCCACGGAACTGTCAATGCTATCATAACACCTCTATTCTCCGGGTCAGCAATCGAGTTCCTCTTCCCATTCAATGCAACTGCAGTGTGGGAGAGGTTGGCAGCGCCATTCCTTCCAGACAGCAAGGAAAAGGATAAAGTCACCTTCTTCACAGTCGTCCCAACCATCTACAACCGCCTCCTAGCAACGCACCAGGACTTATCACCTGAAAAGCAAACCGCCGCACGTCAAGGCATCTCGCCCGAAAACATGCGTCTTAGCATTTCGGGCTCCGCTGCTCTCCCAACCCCGATCAAGAAGGCTTGGGCCGATCTCAGTCATGGGAATGTTATTCTGGAGCGTTATGGCATGACAGAAGTCGGCATGGCGCTGTCCTGCGGTCTTGCAAACGAAGACAGAGTGGACGGGAGCGTGGGCTGGCCTCTCCCATCCGTCGAGGTCCGCTTAGTAGACACCGAGACCAACGAGGTGATCCAGCCGGGCGAGGAGCTTGACAAAGACGGCCGAGAGCGAGACGGAGAGATCCAACTGCGCGGCCCAACCATCTTCAAGGAGTACTGGCGCAACGAGAAAGCTACGAACGCAGAGCACGTGGAGGGAGAAGATGGCAAGGGCCGCTGGTTCAAGACAGGCGATGTCGCCGTTCGCAGGGAGGTGCCGAGCGCAGGTCACAGCGACCAAGAGTGGGCACGAGGCCCTCTATACTTCATCCGCGGCCGCAAGAGCGCCGACATCATCAAAACCGGGGGGGAGAAAGTCAGCGCCCTCGAAGTCGAGCGCGAGCTACTCTCGCTCCCTCAAGTCGCAGAGGCTGCCGTCATGGCCGTCCCATCCGGCAAATGGGGCGACAAAGTCGGGGCAGCTGTGGTTCTGCGACCCGGCGCAGAGGGGAAAGCAGGCAAGCCGTGGGGTGCCATGGATATGCGACGAGCGCTGAAGGATCGACTTGCCAATTATAAGATCCCGCAGGTTATGCGTGTCGTTGATGAGATTCCTAAGAATGCTATGGGCAAGAGTAAGCAAAGCCCCCCCTTCCCTTCCCTCTCCTGTCACTGAGTGGATTCTAACATTGGTATCTAGTTAATAAAAAACAACTCGTCAAACAGGTCTTTGCGGAAGATGCGAGCGGTGATGAGATGTAGATGTAGATGTGAAACTTATTATTGTATATTAATGCATATAGATTGCACGTGTGCAACATATAGATAGAGATCTGTATAATACCTTATTTTGTAACATTTTGTGGCTCCCTTTATCGATCACAGAAGCTGTTCTCTAAACAACACCCTGAGGTTTTCCCCATTACGATGTTTGCCAGTTCTGATACAGTCCCCGAGAACGTTGAATAGGTTGGTATTGAAGGCTGTCACGATCTACTGCAATCAAATGGTCGTCCCACAATTCGCTCAATCCATAGACTTTATGATCAAGCAAGAGATTTTATCAACTTTTGGTTTTTTATCAACTTTTATTTTATGCTGGCTCTCCCATCAGATATGGTATCCCGAGGGAATATCGCTCCCAGTAACAAAACGCCGTTGGAAAGCCTCCTCAGACTAATGAAACGGTGTAGCTAGCAGAGATGCTGTTAGCGACTACCTTTATGCATATTGTCATGAAAACCATCCATAACCTTCGTCTCGCAATGCTATGTAGAGAAAAAACCAAAGAAGCAAATGAACCTAGTGAAACAAGGATCCGGCCACGCCCGAATAGAGAACCTAGACCGTGTACTTGGCCTTGGCTCGTGTGCTTCCACTGTGAGCACTCTCTGTATGACCGGAGAAATCGACAACCTCGGAAGAAGGTAGCCTCAAGACCTCCTTAAACTTTCGGCCAATATTCATGAGAACTTCCTTGCCCTTCTCAGTGGATCGGCCCTTGCCACCAGCAACATCGCCATCACCGCCACCTGGAATGCTCTTGCCAATTGTACGGGTCCAGATACCGATACGGTAGAAGCCCTTTCTGACATTCACGACGACGCCCATGAGTTCTCCGTCGCCCTCTTCCTCGAGTGTCTCGCCGATTGCTGCAAGCATAACGTGGAGCCAGAGCTCATCGATAGGAATGTTGCGCTTATCCTTGAATTGATAGGACCATTTTCCACCGTGCTTGTTTTGCTGGTCCTCCCATTCCGGTCGAACTCCTTCCTTGAAAAGGTGGTAGTCGGATTTAAGGGCCAATTCGGAGACGGGGGCAATGTTGTTCTAGATTATCCTGTTAGTACCTGACGATATATGAAGGCAACAGTAGATGCATACATAGACACCCCAGAATTCCTCGACAGAGTTGAAAGTGATGACCTCCTTGAGCAGATCATTCCAGTTGTCACCCTAAATAGAAAGGTCAGCGGTCAAGGGCTGGGAAGAATGCCAGGGTAGACAAACCTTGCCACTGGGTGGCTTTGTGAACCAGAGAGTCCACTTGTGCATCAGTGGGTGCTTGACATTGAAGTTGTCCTTGTCATGGAAGACCGTGATCTGCTCGCCATCTGCCTTCTCCCCGTTGGGCTTCTTGTTCTCATCCGTGTTGCCGCCCTCTGGTGAGATAGGAATGGTGGACAAGTCAACTGGAGAAGAGGGTTTCGCATCACCATTCACTGGTGGTTGAGCGACAGTTGCTGCCATTATTGCAAATGTACGTCGATGTGACGGCTATGGCGTTAAATTCAAGAGCGGGAGATCGAACAGACTGAGGAGATTGGTGGTTTATCTTTGACCTTGCTGATCCTCCGAGGGTTGAGGGTTGCGGCTGTTGCAGATTCAATATTGAATTAACAAAGCGTTACCAGGATCGATTCGTGCGCGAAGAAGAGAGCACCTCAGATAAGCTCGAGATGACACAGGTTCGCGCGACTGCTGCTCCAGGCAATAAGTCGCTCGTAATATCGTGAGAAGGTTGGAGTTTCTTCGTACCGAAAATGTGGTTTTGTGAGCCGTTCCTGCTCGACGACGGTCAGAATTCTGAGCGCCTCTTCTATTGAGGCCTCAGGCATTAACTATGGTGTATCACGTGTGCTTGCTTAGTAGAAAAGATAGTTGCCTTAAGGCATAAACGAGGCTTGAGTTGCCTCAGGTCCTCAATCAGGGTTAGACTTCAAACCCGCGTTTTTCATTCAATTTGGGGTAGACTAAATTAATTAGTATAAAGTAAAATTCAGGGCCATCTTAAGGTAACGTCTTATCAATTACCAGATTAACGAGACACCACATTAACGTGGTGCATTATTAGCTGTGTCTACGGCCTCAAACTACCTAGGTGACGGAGCACTCGATACATTTTACACGCCATGAACGCCATCGCTGCGAGGTCCCTGTGTATATGCCCCACTCTATGCCCTGATCTATGCATCTATGCCCAGTGCAAAATCCAATGATACCTGTTGAAATCGCGGGTAGCAAACCCTAAACCCAATGTACATGTTGGAGAGCTCTTATGCCTGGCTGTTGAGGAAGCTGAGGTAGCAGTTCCAGCCGAGGGAGATGACATTGACGACGAGGACCCTGTGATGCAAGGGCACCAACTTGAAGTTGACGATCTGAATGAAGGGCCAGACCATCCAGTTCTTCTGGAGCGCCGTTGCATATGTCGACTCCAACTTATGCTGAGGGCTTGACCCCTCCATGATGGCCATGCTGCTGAGAAAGACGAACAAGTTGGTGCCGGCAAAGATTGTCTGGTCTGCAGCCACGCGGGCGAGGATCTCGACATTCTTGTTCTTCATAACGATCTTGTTCTGGAGGAACTTGAACCAGGTCGTTGCGGCTGGACCGAAGATAGCTGTGCCAAAAAGTGGTTAGCAGTGAGATGGTTACATCAGGGGAATAGTCGAAGGATCAAACTCACCACCACCATAAAGGGCCATGCGACCTGTGCGAGCCAATTCGTGATTCTTCAATCCTTTCTTCTCAACCAGTTGCTGTGCCATAGCATCCCCGGTCGCGAAAAGGACTGCAGTCGTGACGCTCTGCGTAAGGAGCGGGCGCGTTGCCAGCTTCATCTGATACCTGTTTCGAGGTCAGCAGTGATCCACGCAGCTCAGATCAGATCGTACGGAGCCCATCATATCGATTGATTGTGCGCCGGGAGACAACTTACCAACGAAACATCTTGATAAAAGAAACGAGTGTCTTTGGTGGGTAGCGTTGTGTTATGTCAGGTAGTGCTGTAGACGTCTGTCCTCGTCGCGCTTCTCCCACAACTTTCTGAGGACAGAGCTGAAGCTCCAGAGAAAGAGAAAAAAGACATTGTTGCGGTCAAGCAAAGGGCCCTTTGTGTCTTGCAGGGATGTGTACTAGCGCCGGATTCTCCGCAATAGGAATCCCGAGAGTCAGGGGAGTGGGATGGAGAGTCACGTGCTGTTGGGGAAGACTGGGGGAACATCAAAGATTTACAATGCATATGACCTGTTGTTGTATTATCAACAGCCGTACGGTGGTTCGTCTTTTGTCTTTTCTTACAACCTATCAACTAGGTATACAGCAAGCAGAGAATCCAGAGCAACATCATTATTCTCAACCCCAAAAGAAAATTGATCTCCTTATTAGACCCCCACGCTGGCTCTCTTGGCAGCGCTTTACCCCTGCATATCAAAAACTCTCTACAGGTGCCCGGTCATCAGCAAGATCCGGAACCCAGCCTTTGGGCCGCTCTCTTCCCCGGATTATCATTCCATACACGGCTGTCTCAACCTTCTCAACACAGGTCTTCATCACCTCCATCTTCTTCTCCACGTCCTTGCCCAAGCCCGTACCGCCACATGATGCTGTGTCTAGTGCCTCAAAACTTGTCCTGAGCGACCTTAAATCCACCAAGATATCACGGTCTTGAGCAGGGTCTTCATCATTCTTTGACCCAGGAAGAGATCCAGTCGTGGCCATCGTCGTGATTGCGAAACGCATTAATTCCCCCACCAGGTCAAAGATACCAAGCACGTAGTCATCCGCAGTCAAGTCAACATTGGCCGGTAACGACGCAGCTGCTTCCTCAATGCTGATTAGTTTTTGGTGGCGGAGGTAATGCTCGAAGGATATGGCTTCCATATATTCCTGAATGCCGCCCGAGATCTGACGCTGATATCTCCACGCATTGATGCCAGCAAGATCAGGAGCAATGGAGAGAAACTGCTGTTGCATTGCAGCCGCACGCTCCTGGGTTTCCGCCGCTATCTTTGGGGGAATCGTGCCCTTCAGAGACCGGACTCTGTACCAGTCAGTGAGAGAGTTGTAGTTGCAGTACGAAGATGCTTACCTTTGCAAGGAGAAGATGCTATTTTAATTGCCGTTAGCGATAATTTCTGAGGGATTATATTGATCAGACTCAACCCACATTTTCTTGCTCGCAGCTGTGATGTCACGTGAAGCCTTTATGATGCGCTCTCTTCTGTCATGATGCTCATCAAGCTCATTGCGGAAGAATTCAAACATGGGCATGAACGGCGAGGTCCTGGACCCGGCTTCCTTTTCAATTCCATCGTGATGCCTCTTGACGCCTGGCATTTCTTGTAACTTGTCGGACATGGGGCCACTTTCCAGTGATACCTGAATAATTGAACAATGTCGAAAGATTTCTGGTTGGTTTCTGTTTGCGAGGTCTGAGCCGAATTGTGGGTGTATCGATATAATCGGCACGTGTCCTTCTAGCAGACGCGACCTTGACCTCCAGTTCAAAATCATCCAAGATGGAGGCACTCTAACAGCTTCAACCTCAACATGCGGACCTCAAACCAGCTCAAACATTGATTGATCTTACTGCCATCATGTTGAAGTTCTTTTCGAGCCCCATTCTTGTCTTTTCTTCGGCCATTGTGCTGCGTGTAGTCCTGTTCTTCTATGGCTTATGGCAGGATGCCAACTCCCCCATGAAATACACTGACATTGACTACTATGTCTTCACCGATGCAGCTCGATTTACTGCGCGCGGTTACTCGCCATATGATCGGGAAACATATCGCTACACACCTCTTCTGGCATGGATGCTCTTGCCTACCACATGGTCCGCCACGTGGTTTTCATTTGGCAAAGTGCTGTTTGCAATCGGGGATATAGTGGCGGGATGGCTGATTGTTCTTGTTCTCCAAGCGTCAAGTAAGATGTCGACAGAACGGGCGTTGAAATTTGCAAGCATCTGGCTCTTGAATCCAATGGTAGCGACCATCAGTACTCGAGGAAGCTCCGAGGGCCTATTAGGGGTCATGGTCATTGCCCTGCTGTGGGCTATTATGAAAAAACGCATATATGTCGCTGGGCTTCTACTGGGTCTTGGCGTCCATTTCAAAATCTATCCTTTTATTTATGCTCCTTCTATCATCTGGTGGCTCGATGATGAGCAAGTAGGCTCGAGAAAGTCCGGGAGCTCCACGAAGACCGATATTGTCAGCCAGATCAAAAACTTCTGCAATGGCTCCAGGATCAAGATCACTGTGACAAGTCTCTTGACTTTCATAATCCTCAACACCCTCATGTACTCGATGTAAGTCTCAGCACCTTTTGGTCATGTCCATCCTAATGGGTTGAAAGATACGGCTGGCCTTTTCTTCAGCATACATATCTACACCATGTTACACGACTTGACCACCGGCACAACTTTTCGCCATATAATACGCTCCTTTATCTGAACTCCTCTGCACCTGGAACCTCGCTCATCCCGCTCGAGTCCGTTGCGTTCATTCCACAGCTGTTTCTATCGGCGTTCGCACTCCCACTCATGCTCGCTAAGAAAGACCTTCCATCCACTATGCTAGCCCAAACTTTTGCATTTGTCTCCTTTAACAAGGTCTGCACTAGTCAGGTAATTCCTCTTCCCTCAAGCCCTTCCCTCAAGCCTTTCGACTCTTTAACACAGTCTAGTACTTCCTTTGGTACATGGTGTTCCTACCATTTTACCTCCCGAACTCATCATTACTTGCTCGAAAGTACCTCGGAATCGCAGCTGCATCATTGTGGGTGGCAGCCCAAGCCTTGTGGCTTCAACAGGGCTTTGAGCTGGAGTTTTTGGGGAAGAGTACATTTGTTCCCGGTCTTTGGCTTGCAAGCATTTTGTTCTTCTTGACGAACATATGGATTTTGGGTATAATTGTATCCGACGTCGGATCTGGGCCGCGGCCACTTCGTGTAAAGTAAGAAGTCAGAGTCATCCCTCTCAATCTATGGGGTATCAAATCCGATGAATGACCTCGCGGCATTCTGTGCAGTTGCCATGGAGCGATTTATCTAAAGGGGCTACTGTGGATGTAGCGATGGATTGTCCGACGCCCATCTTTCAACAGGAAGTGCATGAGCCGCAGAGTTGGTCAGTCAAATGACTTAGCTTCGTTGAGCAAGCATGGCGGGGCGCTTGGGCACATGTTCCAGGTCGTTTCATGAATCGACCTGTAAGTGATGCAATATTCAGTTCGTCTTGGAGGACAAAACAAGATGCTTGTACCGTAGAAGTTAGGATATGAGAAGTTGCAAGACCGTCATTTGCGCGGACCTGCTCTCCTCTCAATTAGAACGTGTGTTAGTCGCAAAGCCTTTGGGAGGTACATGTAACCTAGCGACCCAAAATGTTAAATATACCGAGTAATTGTTTGATATCGAACACAAGGTATGGTGGAATGTGTCTATTACCAGATTAGGTACATTCCGCTGTATTGCGGGGCGGAGATCGATTGCGGGGCGGAGCGGAGCGGGGCTCAGCCTCCCACTACTGTAGGTCTCGGAGTCGCAGAAACCACACAGCCCTCATTGCGACGACACCAACACCACGATCAGCGTTATCACGACTTCGACAACACGACCAGTCCAGCACCTTTGACCATTTCGTTTCTCTGCATACAACGTATTTGAAAGACGTGTTCTGGCATAGTCCCACAGTGGTTATCGATCGCTGAATGACGATCTAGCTGCTGCAAGAAACCCGACAACTCACTCTCGACCCCTCAACTACTCTAGAGTCTATGATCTGTCACTTTCCAAGTCCCAATATACTTTGTCGACCTTTTTGAAGCCGGTCGACCAATCTGCTGTTTGATCAGCGCGTCCCATTCTCGAACGACTGAACCATACAAACCGCGGTTCATGAAACCCAAACATTTCATGAGACCCACCAAGGTTTCTCCAGGAGAACTGAAATCGTTCAAGAGTTGAGGAGGTCCATAATGGTCACGGATACGGATACAGCGACTCGAGGGGATGAATCTGGTCACAACCTCAAATTGATGACAGCGGCTTCCACCCCCGCTACTCCAGGCCCTTCGAGCCCTACAGCAGCCCGAACTATACCCCTTGAGCAATTGAAGGCCATGAATGATACTGAGGATATTGTGCCCCCAACAAGACCGAGCAGTACTCCTTTTCCGCAACAGGAATCATTGGAAGGTGATATTCAGTGTTCGCGACGCTTGAAGACCACAGAATCGATGGCGATTGAGCATCATGTCGAGCCGGACTCAAATTTTGCGAGTGACCCAGAAGTTCGGGGTTTGTCCCAACCCTCATCGCTATGCAATCTCCCAGTCGAAATCCATGAATGTATCCTAGATCACCTATTCGGAATGCGCCTCTCGGTATCTGTGGCGTCAAAAACCGCAGCTTCCGGGCGATCGAAAGTTTTACGGGGTTGGGGCACAGCTTTAAGACACTCACGAAGACGGGAAGTATCAGAACTGGCACTTGTTAGTGTAAAATGGAGACAGCTCATACAAGACCGACTTTATCGCCACATAAAGATCAAAGCTACTAGGGATTCTGTCGAGCAGGCTCTGATGTGGTTTCAGAGGAACCCGCATCTATGCAGCTACGTTAAACATATTGAGTTCTGGTTTCCAGTTTTTCAGCAAAAGTCACTGGCGGATCGGACGTTCCGTATACCATCTGTTACCAATCCCTCCACCCCGACTCAGACTCCGGCACACGCGGGAGAGCCAGGCAATACCCCCAGTTACCAATCGCCGAACAACAATTGTACTTTGGATGAAGTCTTTTGGTTCGTTCGATACGCTTTCCCGGAAGCACGTGTTCTCAGCTTAGAGGGCGGAGAGAGGAAAAAGCCACCGATGGTCCAGCAGTTTAGGGATCCATCGTCTCAATCACTACCTGTACTGGAGACAATCAAGACTCTAGTCTGTAAGGGCCAGTGGAATTTGATTCGGTCAAATGATGATTTTCAAAATATAGCTGCGGCGTTACCAAATCTGGTCGAGTGGCATAGTTCATATGCAAGAGGAAAGTCCAAGAGCTACCTCTGCATGGCTGTCATCCTGCCAAATTTGCCACAAAATCTGACAAATTTGAATCTTTGTCTAGAGAATGACTTCCGCCGGGAAGCTGTGTCTCCGTCATTCTGGAGGAAAGTTGGTCTAAAGACACACTTCTGCGTTGAGATGGCAAAAGCAATGCCGGCCTTGGAGCACTTCGCATACACTGGAAGGGTCTGCCGCTCTTTCTTCGACACTGCAGCCAGTCTATCAAATGTGCGGACTTCGCGTTTACGGAGCGTTGATCTCATCGTCAGAAATGTGTGTAGACCTACTTTTCAGTGGAATGACGGATCGGGAATTACGGATATGGCTTTCATCGAAGCTTTTGAGCGGCTTGTGATCTCCGCTGTCCGATCTTTGGACAAATTGGCTGTGCTGGAATCGCTCCGAATCAAATTCATTGACCTTGGTGAGTGTCAGATATCAAAACGAAGGAAGATTAAGCCTAACCAGCTTCCAGATTCTGTAGTTCCAAGCTTGAACCCATATTTTCAGCTTCAGGACAACAAATGCACAGGTATTTGGAGCGATCAGATTGTCGAGGATCTCGCGAGGACCAGACCCGGAGCGTCCTTCGCTGAAAAGTCGGAGAGCCTCGGAGATGTGCCTCTCTTCAAGGACGGTCAGCTCCTCGGACCTCCCACTCTCTCCAAAACTCGGCCCTCCTCTATTAAAATCTCTACGTATGCGTCTCTCTCTGGTGGAATTACTATAACGTGATCTTTCCGGGGCTATATCTCGGAAGTGGGGGTTTTTGCTTGTCATGTCTGGAATACTGGGAAATACTGTACTTGCACATAATGGCGCCCGGGTGGTTTAGCGATGGCGTCTGATGCATGAGCAGGAGTTAATGGTTTATCTATGGCCGCCAGGGGAGCTTGCAGCATGGATTCCACAATAATGATCATGATTGCTTGTTGCTCTCGGGCATTGCCGCCCACCTTGCAGATAGATAGGCTCTAGGCCTCGAATGAAACGGAAATTAGAAGCTATTCTCGTCAACTGTGCAAGTTGCCGTGATTGTTCTCGTATAGGGTATCTAGTATCTAGTATCATAGGAGGGAATGTTGTGAGTAGGAAGGTAAATATCTTAAGTAAGGTACCTTAAGACATGAGTTCTGCATGGAAATAGGTTCTGTATCCCGTGTAACATGAAGGTGTGGCTGGTAAAGGGCACGGGCCGGCACCGTCCCTAGTGCCTTTTATATATATAACGGTCGTGGCCACTCAGGATCCTGGTTGCTTTCCCTTTCTCTTCCCGCATACACAGATTACACGGCCAACATGTATGTATATCTACACATGCTACACCATACTTACATACCACATACGCAGTGCCCCGGGCCGTGCTTACGAATCTCCATCGTCGGGCAAGCCCTTGAGGCCCGGGCCTTGTCAACAACTTCCACATCGAGCCGGCATATTGGCATGATTGGCGGCATTCCACCCCGCTGGTGATAGACGATCACTTGCCGAAGCAGGGAGGTGGGTGTCTTTGTTCCTGGTTGACCGACCGCTGCATCATCATTAGCACTGTCCCTACTGTGTGATGGGATCATTCTACGGTTCTACCGCTCCTCCGTGCCCACTTTCACTGTCGCTTTCGTCGGCGACCTGCGGTCTCTCCCAATCTACTGTCAAGGGTAGCGGAACCCGGCCAGGAGCAAGGTTCCTCCGTCCAGGACAACACATATTTGAGCTATATATTTTGTAATATAAGACCGCTTTGTATCCCAAATTCCACAAGTTTTGCTACATGTCAATTGAGACCCGACGAAGGCTCCAACACGGGAATTGCAGAGTCTAGTCACCATGCGTGCTTTTTCCTCTCTACTCGTGCTACTGGGGGCGTCGACGGCCATGGTGGCCGCAATCCAAAGCCCTCATGCGAAGGCTGCCAAAAGGTCGGTGCCACAGCCATTGTATACAAAAGATGCACCTCGTAAGAAGGAGACAACGATGTTCTTGAATAGTAAATCCAAGAGTGAGGACCCTCCATGCACGAAGTGTATGCTCCCAACTGACAATGGCGTAGAATTCGCTGTGAATGGTTCTGCTCTGCCGGAAGTTGATTTCAACATTGGGGAATCATATGCTGGTCTGCTCCCGATCAGCCCGGATCCGAACGATCCTAATCAATTGTTCTTCTGGTTCTTCCCTTCTGAAAATCCGCTGGCGAAAAAGGAGATCACTATCTGTATGTATCCTTCTGGTGAAGCAGTGTCAGGGATCTGTCAACTCAACCCTGAGCCCAGTCACAAGGGATAAAATTCGCTGATATTCCCAGGGCTGAACGGTGGGCCTGGATGTAGTTCTTTGGACGGGCTTCTGCAAGAAAACGGTATGTCCGTCTACAACGATTTCAGTTCCAGCACTGATGTTCCCAGGACCGTTTTTGTGGCAGTCGGGAACATATCAACCTATTGCCAACCCATATTCGTATGTTGTATCCTTTTAGACCCAACCTCCATTCGGCACAGGTAGATGTCGTGTAGGATGTGTCTCAACTCTTCATTCCCCGTTTTTGGATGCTTCTCATAGATCTTATTCCAGTGTCTCTACTCAGATGAATACTGACTCGTAATCTTGCAGCTGGACAAATCTTACGAACATGGTCTACATAGATCAACCTGTCACTACAGGTTTTGCTAGGGGAAATATCACCGTCAATAATGAAATCGACGTGGCAAACCAATTTATGGGGTTTTGGAAGAATTTCATTAAGACGTTTCAGATGGAAGGGTTCAAAGTTTACAGTTAGTACACACTCCCCTTTTCCAAGCAGAGATAAAGAGCGCTGGATACTTCGCCGTATTTTATGTGTGAGGCAACGTCGTGAGAGGGAGCATATCCGGCAACCCATGGATTATCTCCATAATCATCCTACACCCTACTCCAGCAACTGCTAACTTGGCTGCCAAATAGTTACTGGCGAAAGTTACGCTGGAATGTACGTTCCTTATATTGCAGCTGGGATGCTTGATGCCAAAGACCCGGTATACTTCAATGTCAAAGGTGTTCAGATTAACGACCCGTCTATCAATGATGATAATACACTCATAGAAGGTAAGTGATCAATGATATTGTTGGTACACCGATGCTAATAAATAAAAGCTCCCGTCGTGCCTGCTCTGTTGCATTACAATAATGGTTTGTTTGACTGGAATTGATCATCCGTATCAGAGATGCTAATTTACTTACAGTGCTTGGAATGAACGAGAGCTATTTAGCCACTCTCACTGCAAAAGCAGATGCCTGCGGATACACTGAATTCTTCAACAAGTATTCAAATACATTCCCTCCACCAGGACCAATCCCGACTGCACCAAATTTGCCGGGCTGCGATGTCTACGACGAAATTGTGAACGCTTTATTACTTGTTAACCCATGTTTTAACATTTACCACTTGACAGACTTCTGTCCTTATCTCTGGGATGAACTAGGGTTCCCTTCTCTTGGTGGCGGACCCAACAATTATTTCAACAGAAGCGATGTTCAAGCTCAGCTACACATCCCTCCAACGAATTACTACGTGTGTGGGGGCGGTCCCAATCTCTTCCCAAATGGTGACCAGTCACCTCCCTCATCATTAGGCCCACTACCTTCAGTCATTGAACGAACGAACAACACCATCATCGGCCACGGGATGCTAGACTTCCTCCTCTTCGCCAACGGTTCATTGATAACCATCCAAAACATGACCTGGAACGGGGCCCAAGGCTTCCAAACCGAGCCTAGCAAAGAAGACAACTTCTTCGTTCCATATCACCAGAGCCTTGGCACCATCTTACAACTCTCAGCCTCAGCCACTCCGAACTCGCCCCCGCAATATGATACCGCCGGCGCTGGATTCCAGGGCGTGACCCATACGGAACGAGGACTGACTTTCGTGCGCGTGAACCTTGCAGGTCATGAGATCCCGCAGTATGTTCCTGGGGCGGCGTACAGACAACTCGAATTCCTGTTAGGCAGGATCGAGAGCCTGGAGCAGAGGGGAGACTACACGACCCAGACTGGGAACTTCACTGGTCCATAAAGGACGTCAAGAAATATGGAATATTAGAGAAGGACTCTATCATTCAGTAAAGGTCTCTTGGAATTAAAATAGGAGAGTTTCTAGTAGATAGAAATAATACTATAATTCAAGCAATCCAAATTACCTATACCTGTATATAAAACAAAAACAGAGTTCATCCGCCTCTCTCTCTCCCCCGGGTCCCCCCTCCTTTTCCCTCCCCTTTTCCCTCCCCTTTGTCCTCTCTTCTGTACAGCCAGCCCCTTCAACAGGGGAGGGAGGGCAAAAGGAACCCCCCCACCCCCCC